ATAAAGACAACACTCTCTAACAGAACACAAGGGAAGAAAACGTTTTCTACACTTTGGAACAACTTCGTTACATTTGACACACAGAAATAACTGCCAAAAATGTTGCATGCTCCGAACATGAAGAAAATCCCCGGTAGAGACCCTGTTCGAAAGCTAGTGTTGATTTGTCCTTCAATAATTTTAAGCTCGATGTACACCTCAAGTTGAGTTACGCATCGATGATTCAATGTTCCGGTAGGCTCAAATCGATCATTTCTGCGAAAGAGTAAGTTCAAAATTAAGAACATGGCAATATTTAAGAACAAATGATTTCTGACCTCATTGTCCAACCCAGTGAAATAAATAAAGAGAAGATCCATGTCATAAATACATTTACAGTCGCTGCAACAGTCAAATAAGCGAGAGTACTGTATTGCCTAAATTCAATGGCAAACTGCCCAAAATGTGAAATGATCCTCCATCCGGGACAATATGTGTTACCCCATCCATCAGTGTCTTACTTCGCGTTAGAAATAAAAAAAATATACATTAAAAATAAACCAATTTACTTTATACTTATGTATTTATCAGAAAAGATGGCTTTAAGTACCTGGAATTATCGATCCTAAGAAAGGAGGTTTACCAGCCTTCGCAATGACAACCAATACCCCGAAAGTTTGAATGAACGCCGACCCACATAATCCCAACAATTGTATGGCATATTTTAAAAATCTTCCATAACTTTGAATTTGGACACAGTTTTTCTCCATACTATTAAATACTCTTCCCTCATAGGTCAGTATCATGTTTAGCAATGTGGCAACGTCCGCCGGAAATTGGTACCACGTAGTTATCGATGCAAGTGCTGCCCTGGAACAGCAAACGAAAACACAGCTACTAGAGCTTTTTCCTCCGTTCGTAACTGTGGCGATTGTAAATGCCATAAGCCATTACACAGAGTGAAAAATGCATAGCTAATTAAGGAGAGAAGCTTCACTTTTAAAATGAAACGATCTTGAAGCCTTGGTTGCTTAGATAAAACAAAGACGGGATTTTTATCTTCACCGTGGTTAATTCTAATTGGGCAATGAATCCATAGCGATACAATTCTCGATTGAGTCCTCGTAACGGGAATGGTGGACGATAGAATCATTTCTAACGTTTTTTAAAGATATTCGTCAAAATTTAGGTTTTGCAGCTTAATATTTTGTGCCCCAACAAAAAGGTGATACTGATGGTTTGGAGTGAATTTGATTTTTATATATTTTATAAGCTCACACGATATTTCCCTCTCCAATAAACCAGAGAAGACAAATGGATTTACTCCAACCACCATCGGAAAATCCACGCTTTGCAAATATTTTGCAGAAATAGGTTACGACGCATATCCTGTTTATATAAACGAACATTTTAACAAATAGAGTAGACGCAAGCTTTACATGTTCCATATTTATATGAACACTTATACAAATACATAAAATTTAAAGAAATTTAAAGTGGTAACAAAGGAGAAGGCATATATATTTCGAAATTAAAATATTAGGCTTATAGATTTATTTACTTCATTCCAATTTCAAAATAGTGATATTAAACTTATCCTAACAATAATAATTTCATCGTCCCTCTAACATATAGAACTATCATTTTCAATGGTGTCAATATTTCTACAAAATTACTCCCGAACCTCACCTTTATTGGCGAACATCCACGGACCCGTTTACAAAACAACTTTCTATCCAATACCATACCAAGACTACCAAATTTTAGCTGGTTTAGCATCCTTTCCGACTTTATGTTCAGCATCCCACACAAACTACCAGCAAACAAAATAACAAACACGCTCTCTACCAGAGCGCAGAGAAAGAAAACATTTTCCACCTTTGTTAATAGCTTGGTGACATTTGACACACAAAAATAGCTGCAAAAAACGTTGCATATACCACAAACAAAGAACATCCCGGGTAGAAATCCTTTCCGAAAGCATGTGTTGATTTGTCCCTCAATAATTTTTAGTTGCACGTATCCCTCTAGTTGATTTTTGTACGAATCACGTGATCCTTCCATCTCCCCAACTTTATCAATTCTAAGTATGTACAATACGGAAACATTAAGATTTATACATGTATAAGAATATAAATTTTAGGATCGCATATGTTCCTTGTTTGACCTCATTGTCAGTCCCACTGAAACAAACAGCCAGAAGATCGATGTCATGAACAAATTTGCAGATGCAGTAGCGGTCAAAAGTGAAAGTGCGCTGAATTGCCAAAATTCGATCGAAAACGCTCCAACGTGTCCAATGAGATTGAATTCCGTACCATATTTTCCTCCAAAGTTATCGCTATCTCAGTTCAACCATATAATGAGATTATAATGAATACAGAATACAATGAGAAACTCGCGGGGTCGCTCAAATATCTCAATTGAAAGTTTTACAATGTTACGTTCATAAATTATCATCATGTGTAATAATTTTTGCTGTGAAATTCACCTGATAAACCGCATGGCCATTATGCTAGCTCAGTCCTAATATTATATTAGATTAACAAATGAAAAGCTAACTAACAGCTATTCGTACAATACTAATAGAGATCTTTGGGCTTTTCCGTTTGTAAAATTTTACATCAACGCGATGCATTTAAACCATCATGCACATTATAAACAAATTTTACATTGTTATACTCAATAGTTTGCGCAATCATTTAGGTGTTTAACTACCTGGAATTATGGATCCTAAGAAAGGAGGACTACCCGCTTTCACAATAATCAGCAGCAGGACGAAAATTTGGATGAACATCGAACCACATAATCCCAACAATCGTAGGGCGAATTTCAGAAATTTTGCGTAACCTAGAATTATTTTATAATCTTTCGCCCTGGAATGGAACACTCTTCGCTCGTAGATTAGTATCATATTTAGCAGTATCACAAAGTCCGTTGGATTTTGATACCACGAAGAGATCACTGCAAATGCAGACCCAGGAACGGCAAACGAAAAGATTGCCACTAACGCCTTTTCCTCCGTTCGCAACGAGGGACATTGTAAATGCCATAATCCATTGACCAGTAGGAATACGGAGTAGACTATGAAGGAAAGAAGTTGCACTTTTAAAATGTTACGATCCTTAAGCCGAGCTTGTTCGGATACTACGGAGAGGATTTTTATCTTCACCCTTGCTAATTCCTATTGGAGGATGAATCCACATCGAGATAAGTTTCAATTGACTTTTTGTCACGGAAATGCTGGAGGATAGGATCATTGCTTACAGGAATTTACTGAAAGTCGGCCAAAACCCTGATATGTTACAGGTTATTTTTTTCCTGCGGCAGAAAAGATGCTACTCACCTACTTCGGTTTGCGGTGAATTTTATTCTAATTTGATAAATTTCGCCTACTCGGTAATTTTAGTTTTAAACAAATAGGAAAAAGCAAATAAGATCACGTCTACATAAATACTACTACATTTAGTTAGCATTTTACTTCAGGGGCAAAGGTGATGACAAATAAATACGTGCTAGGTTGTTTTGTTTGAACACTATCGTTTTATATCGTTGTGCCGGGTTAGACATTTAATTCAACTGTATTATTATATATTTGTGTAAATAATCAAACATGTCCATAAACAAACTTTATACATGTCTCGTATCGAACTAACACTTATATTTATGTAACATATCATGCAATGGTTAAATAAAAGTTGTGTGTATTTAGGAATTGAAGTATCATGTTCTTATATATTTATTTAAGTACTAAATATTATCGAATTGTGTAAATGGGTCGACTCCGAGGTAAAAGAAAAATGTGACGTGGAATAAAGGAAATACGGAACAATACTAGACAATCATGTTGAGGAAAAATCCGATTAGATCGTTTTTGGTAGTTTTTGATAATGTCTTCCTCGACAAGTTGAGCACGATGGCTAATAAAAGAAACCCAGAAAACGAGTTATTGATTGAATCGGTGGACGTTATAAGTATATGTACTGTGGTAATGGTGCGAGAAGAGGAATTCAGGAGTTTTAGTAAAACTCCGAAAAACTGAAAATCCCCAAATTTAAGGCTACGTTGCATATAAAAACTATCAAATTCAACATTTGGTTCGCATAGGAGTAACCCATTAATATGCTAACAGATTTTGAACCCTCTCGAGAGAATAATGAAAATCAATGATCTTCCGGAAACGTTAGTTACCTTCGTTCCACAATATGATGTCTTTTACGATTTAGAGGAGACCTGTTTCTTCCTTCCGAATTTCTCATGCAATGATAATTGTTAGGGATTAAAGGGTGAACATAATTTGAGTAATTTTTACCTGAATTTAGAATTTGATGCAAAAGGATAAATTCTTTTTACGCTTCAACCGTATCCCTACCAATGATGGGTAAAACTAATTCCCCAAGATATGCAAATACGAACCAAAATTTTATGATGATTAATAACATCGCTGGAATGAAGGATAACTTAATATAGCCAAATATTTGGAAAGCAAATGGAAAAAAGGAAATTAATAGGTTCACAGCTACAAAAGAGAGTGCGGCTTTCCAGACGTATAATCTTTTAGAGAAAGTGTAATAGATTATTTATAGTATAACTCTGGTGGTGATGAGTCGGATATATTCACAGAGAACGGACTCTCTGTGAAGAAATATTTTGACTTTCCAAGTTTTTATTTGTAATGTGCCAAAATTTGCGAAGTTGCATCATTTTCAAGACACATACATACATCTGTACGTGCAAACACGCACATTCGCGTTTCTATGCACTCGGTGCAAAAGAATCGAGAAGATCGAGAGCGGATATAAATAACTTTCTCCTTCTGGGTTTTACTTTACGTTGCAGTGGGCCGCTCAAATGGAACGTTGTGATTTGATAAAAGTTGTGCCTTTTTGATACATGTGTTGTCAATTTCATGGATTTTGAGCGAGTTAAACGTGTATGTACTTATGTAGGAAAAACTAATGAACTTCTTAATGAACGGCACCTTGCATCGAGTTGACTGCGTGGTTTCATTTCGGTTGTTGCACAGTATCGTGTCCCATTTTACATACTTGCATCAGCTTTGTGATTTTTAAGCTTTGAAGATTTGGGTTTTTAATGGAATAAAATTAATTTCGCTGGAGTGGTGGGAGGAAGGGGGGTGGGGGGTATTATAATTTGCATGCGATCACGTCAGGACACTGGCCATCTCCATATATCCCAAGATCTTATTTAACCTTTATGTGAGTTGAGTGAGGATAGCAAAAAGTTTGCAAAAAGGAATTACAAACCCCATCGTCATTCGTAAAAAAACGTTCCTAAAATTTCATTTTATTGAGCACCCAATCTACTTATTTAATAAATAGTAATTTATTTTAATAGGTGTTGAAATTCTCAAATCTTCCAAATTACTTGTTATGCACATCAGCTTCCTGCCTTAGATAATTAATTGGTTCGACCCATGAAAAACGGTAAGTATTTAATTTTTATCGATACATTTTTGGTATAAGAAAAGAAACTTGGTTAAAAGTTTGTTAATGAGTTCATTAAAAAATGACAATTATTTTCCATGAACTAAAACTATATCTGCATATTTGCAGAATACGCATTGTTGCAATCAATGAAGCTTGTTTTGACTTTTTAATTTGATTAAAATTTGTTCAAGGTTATGGAAAACGGGTCAAATTTATTGCGCCCAAGAAAATAATATTTTGTTCCAAAGAAAATTAATAATTTTCTGCAATCATGAAATCTTCAATCGAGTTAATTTTTTTCTCCAAAGAAAATATAAACATTCCAAAGAAATAGTAAAATGGAAAACTTACACAAAGAAAGTAAAAATTTATCAAAAGTTGCAGAATTTTTTCTCAACCTTATTTATGTAAGTGGGGACATCACAAATTTTGCACAACTTTATTTATAATCTAGTTAATAAATACCTAGTTATAATTATTTCCATGGCTTGTTGACCAATTGATGGTTTTATGCATTTATAGGCGGAAATATGTACGTCGTTAAGGAATGAAGATGAATTTGGCAATTCCTTAAACATGTTGTTACATCTTGTGTCAGGTACTTTTTCACGGATTACTTTTTCTGCTGGAATTTTATTACTTTTGACTATTTTCTCCCATTTTCCTATTTCTGGATATATGTACATATATCTAAAATTTTGCTACTCATGTACATATATACTCTTTATCCGTTTGAGCTTGAGCCATGGCTAAATTTTGAGAAGTGTGAGGGTTTCCTATGGAGCAAGATTTAGCCATGGCTCAAACTTGAAGAATATGTACATATTTATGTCCTTATTATCTTCTTTGTCATTAATAGGGTTGGAGATGCCTTCAGAAACCTTCAAACAAATTGATGCATCCGTTACACAAAATGCTTATCTCGTCTTAAAACATTTCAACATTTGGACGGCTTGGGAACCAAATTTGAAGGCCATTTTTATTTCACTTTTTACAATTAATTTGCATTAAACGTTTTCTAAATATCGATATGTTACACCCTTCAGAATTCCGAACAAATGCCTTGATTACCAGAAACATTGAATGAAAACAAATCTCCATCCCGGAATTAATGTTTTTAAAATTCGTATTTGACAATGAGGGTATTCATTATTTCTTCGTATCCTTAGTATTCTTCGTATCGTAAAATAACTTATGACGCTTACGAGATTTTGTAAGCGTCGTAAGATTTTGTCATCGAAAATCACGTTACTGCGCTTACGATTTTTACGAAACCTGACCCCTTGTTTTATCTTCGTAAACTATATTACGATTCTACGGATACGAAGAAATAATGAATACCCTCAATGTATTTTTCATTGTATTTAAAATACGAGCCTTGTATTTCAGTTGCAATATTGACAAAACAAGTATTTTGTACTTCAAATACAGTAGGGTAAAATGTATTTTGCGCCTGGCTGTATGTATAAAACAACGGTTATACAAAGCAAGCGTAAGGTAACTTCCGACCTCTAGAGTTTTTCAGTGAGGTTAAAAATAGCGTCATCCGTTTCGTTGAATTATTGTCTCAACGTTAAGCTTGGACATTTTCTGTCCGTTATTTCTCCTTTGCGATTCAATTACTGAAGATACATAAATATAGTTCATTTCTCTGGCTTTATTGTGTTGAAATGAAACCCTAAAAGTAAAAAAAAAATGTAACAGTCGGCCTTGTTTAAACATATTCGCTAGTGCACAACACTATGTACTTCCTCCATATTGTTGGTTGTGAAGGATGCCATTTGATGGCTGGCATCATTGTGTATTTATTCTTTTCATTCTGGACGAGGTGGCTTCCGGTTTGAAATATATCTCATCCTCAGTCACTATTTCCTCTTCAATTTCTTGATGGCAGATATTTCGATAGACGTAAAGGTTTGGCAAATTTTTTGGATAGACTCTACTAGAGATCATGCCTCCGTGCTCTTAATCGAAACCAAAGGGTTAGCCCATCTTAGGATATTATACGTTTCGTCACAACAGGGAAATTACAATTTATTGCTCTCACATCATAAAGATTCATGCATGCTTCGATACGTCGCGTCACCAACTCTTTAGTTTAGTGACTTTGGTCCACGGGCACAGTGTATGCGACCGTGTATGCTCGCACACTATGTAGTGTCAAACAACGAAATGAATAAAATAGTGATTTAGGAATAATAACAGTAAACTTACTAGGGATTTCTCATACATGCTATTTATGAAGCCCAACGCTTTAACGTGCTCTAAGGTTATTTTTTGAATATATTTAGATTAGTTCGAAATTTTATTTTTAATTTTTTAATTCGCTAGTGAAGTTTTCTTTCTGTTCAAGATTTTTTCAAGGAGTCACATCCAACCTTTGAGGTGAATTCTAGCCCAATGGGCAATCCTGGTTGTCCTTTCGCATCTTCGTCGTGGAAAGAATTATATAGAATTTTTGTAAAGGACAGGTAAAATATAGGGAAGTAAAGGAACGATGTATGTAAATACCTGAAGGTAATTAACTCGGTTATTTGCGAGACATTGTGCTAAAAAATATGGAAAGAAAAAAAAAATCAACCGTCCTTTTGTTTGTTATGCAAATATTTCCGCACCCAGTTGAATTACCTGTAATGGTATCCCTGTAGAAAATAGTTAACTCAAAACGTTAAGATTACGTGGCGCAACAAATTGTAGCAACTATGTAAATCTGTCTACTACAGAAATAATGCATAGCCTGTTGAATACGAACATCGGAATTAATGGTAAAATTGCCTTGTTTGACAAAGAATAACGTGTAAAGTTGAGCCTGATATTGTTACATTTAAAAATTAGTTTGGCAAAATGTCAATATGCCAGTTCTGTCGATCATGACACTTTCAAATCTGTGAAATATGTTGAAAAATTACAACGTAACTGCAGACATACATACTTATTGCTGACTCCTGTGTTAACACAACTGTAAATTGAACGAGTATGTATTAGGGGACCCTTGGAACTTGTTTACATATGTATAACGCGTCGACCTTTGAACTCTGCGGAAATGACTCCCGCGCCCACTGTGATGGCGTTATGGAGAGTCCGTCCCAGTGATATCGACGGTGGAGTCTCCCCTCGCGGCACATCCACTTGGGGACTAGGCAGGTTAATGACCGATGCATTGAGTTGAGACGGTTAGTAACTGCTTTAAAATTCCCTAAAAGATAAGGCCCCATCATGCATACAGGACTTAGAAAGCCCCGTCTAAAATCAGGAGGGCAATGATCTCGTAGATCTTGAATGAAGTAATGTTGTGGCGGGTTGAAATCATATTTTACCTTAAAAAATATCGGAGTCGTGTAGTCAAACATGATTCGGAACTGGTTTAGTGAAAACTCTGGAAAGAACGTGCATTCTTGACGGGGACTTCGATACCACGGATAATTATCTCTTTAGAGAGAGTAAAGATATATTATTTTGTAAATAAGGGAACACAAATCCTTTATTTATTTATTTACAAACAAGAACAAATTATTACGAACAACAAATAATTTTTAAAAAATTTATTTCCTAAGGTAGCGCTAAACGACAGGAGAATAGGGGTAATTTTCAGAAAGAGTTTGAAAGATGGTCCCTGTCGGATAAGATGGCTCGGACTCAGCAATTTAGCTGTTTCAAGTTGCAGTGCCTGAACTTTACTCAGGCCAAATGTAGGTATGTTATATCGGTCTATGTACATGTATGTAGATGCACATGGAAATGTATTTAGATACTTGCCATGGTACTTGGCAGGACACAATCGACGCAAATTTATGACTTCATAAATCTGTAAGACGTTGCATATTTATATATTTAGTTGCCTTGATTACACGCTTTTCAGTGGTATATGTACCCTTCTCAGATTTGTTCATCTTTTAGAATTGCTTTGCATTTTGTAAGCGCAATGTAATTACTTCAAATTCAGCATATACGTATTAATTTCTGAGGGTTTTTGATATGCTATAGCAAGTACGAAGTGGGGCATAATATCATAAAAATGCAAATTTAAGTAGATTACATATTATTATAAATTCCTTGCCTTCTTGAAGTAAGATAATAGATTCAATTGAAAGCGCATATAACCTGAGTTATCAGTGTAAAAGTGAGAGCTTACCTGATATTTTTTAGGTTGACATCTATCCTCATTACAATATGTTACCGAATTGTCGTCCAACTGAAAACTATAAATGTCACTAGCTAAAATAAATTGTAGATTAGATTCTGAGCAGTATTCGAACATTAAGTTTCGCACATCTGTTAATACAAAAAAGCGTTTTCAGACTTAATTTTATCAATACCTGGTTTAAATATTTCAAGGGAGTCCTATCTCCTTCGGCATTTTTTTAAAAAAAAGGTTTTAAATTCTGGATTCTTGTTATTCGTCATGTACTGGTAATCATGGTTTTTGGCTATATAGGGTTTAAGGGTAGAAACTTTCTGTGTTTGATACATAGTGTAATTGTAGAAGATATGTAGACAAAGTTTTATTGCATATGTAAGTTTTGAAAAACTTCTTGCAAGGTTTAGTGTGACAACAATTGGGTGAAATTTGTTGATAAGTTTTATTCCATTGTTGTCTCATCTTCTTTTTTTAGTTAACCTAAGTTCATTTTAGTTAAGTAAATTAAATATGACGTAATTTGAAGACTATACTTGAGTTTAATTGAATCATAAGCTATGAATATGTATGTATCTATTTAAGCTATTCAGTGCATACAGAATTTATGCATAATGTTGGAAAATTGCCAATATAATACATATTTGGATATGCAAATATGTTATTCGTTACGTACTGATTATTGTTATGACTAAACAGAATTTGCTTTAAATTATATTATGTAGTAATGACCCTCGACATGTTTATATCATGAATTACTGGTATTAATTTGAATGAAGGTACATATGTACATGACAGGTTGTAAGTTGAAAGTGTTGAACAATAAAAATGCACTGGATAAATTCCTACTGGTTACTGATTGTTTAACATATTTTTATGTTTTAAATTAATGATCCATACATTCAGATTTGTATACTTGTCTATTCGAGCATTTAACTAACAGGAACAAACAAGTAAAGAAATTCACATCAAAAATCACCTTCACATTTTCAAATATTTTGGATACATTGGCTTATACATGCCTAATAGTATAATAAATTATAAATTAGGTATACATATTACTATCTGGAATGTTTATTTTTCCCGAGCAGTAATGCTCTTGAATGTCAATATAAGATCTTCAATCAAACATGGAGTTTGTTTCTGTAAACGGACATTTGCACAATAAATCCCTAAATTCGCAAATTTTACCAGGCCTATACATTCATACATAGACCTTTGTAAATATGTATGGTATTTATTTGTGTAAAATTTCACGTCCAAAAATCTTTCGTAATTAACAGATGAGAAAAAGATATCTTGGAAGTGAGGTTTTGTTTGCAAGAGTTTATTTAAATAGGATACCAGCTAATAAATATACATATGTATATACATATCTGTGCACGTATTTAAAACGTAGACTAAAATTAATTATTCCATATATCTGATTTTTTGAGCAGTATTTTTTACTAAAATCATTAATTCACTAGATAACTATTTACATACTTAACCAAACAGATTGATGATAATTAAAAAATCTATATACATCGTAGCCAAGAATTATCTGACCACCCAAATAAATCGACATATCGGACCACAAAATTTGCTGAAACTTTTTTGTTGTCGTGTTCTCGGATCTAATTTTTTCTGACAATGTCACCCAGACTTGTACCTTCATTTGTGGAAAAAATTATAAAAATAAACCAGCGTTTGGATGAAGCAGCAGGAATTTCACAAATTGGTCGAAAATTTTTAGTCGGTGGAAAAATAGTCAAGTTGTGGAGGAACCGGAAGTCAATCAGCCAAGCTAGTTATCTCAGACGACACACCACATCCGCAGTCATACCTGAGAATACGATTTTTATAATAGTCCATCGAAAATCTGGTAGTTCGACAATAATGTGTGAAGCGGTCCTAAATCTCACATATCGATATTTACTATTTTGGTAGAAAATATGTCGTTCCATTATCCAAAATCATGTAAAACCAGTGACTGGG